GGTGGAAAGTATCAGAACTGAAAGAATTACAGGACACCCCGCTGGTGTCCACTGGAGAACTGGTTATTGGTGGGGAAAAATCCCCACACACGTATTGGTGCCCAATGTGAAGTACTCCAGAGTGTCAGAGTAGGAAAAAACCAAAGTATTTTTCCTATCTCCTTTAGAACTATGCAGCCATAAAAAGAATAGGTAAGCTATACATAATTATGACATGTCAGTTAAAACTAATATTAAGGGCTGGGCACGGTGGGTGATGCCTGTAATCCCAGAACTTTGGGAAGCCAAGGTGGAAGGATTGCTTGACCCCAGGAGTTTGAGACCAGCCTGGGAAAACTTGGCTCTACAAAATATAAATTTAAAAAATTAGCTGGGCATGGTGACACACACCTTAGTCCTACCTATTCAGGAGACTGAGGTGAGAGGATCACTTGAGTCTTGGGAGACTGAGGCTGCAGTGAGCTATGACTGAGCCACTGCACTCCAGCCTGGGTGTCAAGGTGAGACCTTGTCTCAAAAATAAGTAATACAAAATAAAATGGAATTAAAATAACTAAGGGGACAAAAAAGAATATATGTAGTGATAAGATAAGGTCTTAGGTCTATGATTCCCAAACTGCACTGAGATCCCTGGGTTGGTGAGCACACTCACAGCGGCACCACAGAATATTATAAATTTTCAAGAGACTTCATGTGTAATACTAGTTTGAGGTTACTTCATGGTTTTAACATTAGACCGCAAAATATTCAGTGAAGTCAATCTTTCCAAAGCTGGGTTTTGGTGGTGCTAGATTTGGAAAGTTTTTCCCCTCCAAACCTCATGTTAAAATTTAATCCCCTATGTTGGAGGTATGGACTAATAGGAAGTGTTTGGGTCATGGTGACAGATCCCTCATGAACAGATTAATGCCCTCTCTAGAGGGGAAGGGAATGAGTTCTCATTGTTCATTACCTGGAGAGCTGGCTGTTAAAAAGAGCCTGCCACCTCCCTGCTGTTCCTCTTGCTTCCTTTCTTGACATGTGATCTCTGCACATGCCGCTCCCCTTTGCCTTGCGCAGCTGCTGAGTGGAAGCAGCCTGAGGACCTCACCAGAAGCCCAGCTGATGGCAGCACCATGCTTCTTGTACAGCCTACATGGTTCTTGTAGAACCATGAGCTAAATATATAAATCTCTTTTCTATATAAAGTAACCAGCCCAGGTATTACTTTATAAGCAACACAAAATGGATAACACAGGTGGTTACTATGATAAAAAGCAAATACTGTACAAAACTAACACTAAAAAAGAAATGAGGATGTCAATTTCCCACTGATGCCAAGGTATGAGGTATTGTGTAGTGCTCTATAGGCATTCACATCCCACTAGTACTTCTTAAATTAGTAATTTAAGAACAAAATTGCCAGGTGCTGTGGCTCATGCCTGTAATCCCAGCATTTTGGGAGGCTAAGGCAGATGGATTACGAGGTCAGGAGATCGAGACCATCCTGGCTAACAAGGTGAAACCTTGTCTCTACCAAAAATACAAAAAATTAGCTGGTCATGGTGGCGGGCGCCTGTAGTCCCAGCTACTCAGGAGGCTGAGGTAGAAGAATGGCGTAAACCCAGGAGGCAGAGCTTGCAGTGAACTGAGATTGTGCCACTGCACTCCAGCCTGGGCAACAGAGCGAGACTCTGTCTCAAAAAAAAAAAAAAAAAGGACAAAATTTAAAAATCTTTAAATTTGTCTTTTGGCCTAAGTATAGGGGCATTAAAAAAAATTACTGGCACACTAAGGATACTGTAAACCAAGACAGTTTGGGAAACCTCTGTATTAAGTGAAAAATGCAATGCAGAACAATTAACAATCTGAGTTGATAAACAATTATTACTATCTAGTATACATTTACACTAGTACATAGAATTCGGATTAAAAATGTCAACTCAAACAGTTGACAATGACTACGTCTAGGTAGAAGAATAAGAATTGAAGAACAGAGAAGGGATATTTTCAGTTCATTGCTCTCTATAGTTCTCTATTACATCCTTTTCTACCAGGAAGCATCTGCAGTACAACTGCAAATTTGGTTTTTCATTTTATATTGCATCTGTACCTGCAGAGAAATCCATAACAAAACAATGGCAAAAGAAAAACATCACAACACCATTTTCTATGCAGGTATACATAAGAAAGTTCAAAAAAAGTTTGGAACTTCCTGGCAGCCAAAGGGGAAAAAAAAATCTTAAATTATAGAATTTTTATTACAGGTCAAGCATCCCTAATCCAAAATCCAAAATGCTCCAAAATCCAAAACTTTTTTGAGTGCCAACATGATACTTAAAGAAAAATGCTTGGCCAGGCACAGTGGTTCACACCTGTAATCCTAGCACTTTGGGAGGCCAAGGAGGGAGGACGGCATGAGGCCAAGAGTTCAAGACCAAACTGGCCAACATAGCAAGATCCCATCTCTCTCTCTCTCTCTACATATATATACACACACCCACATACACGTATATATATTTATATAATATGTATACAAGTGTGTGTGTATATATATATATTTTTCCATATATGCAAAGGAAATGCTCCCAAGAGCATTTTGGATTTTAGATTGAGGATGCTCAACCAGTAAGTATAACACAAATATTCAAAAATCCAAAAAAATCTGAAATCTGAAACACTTTTGGTTCTCAGCATTTTGGATAAGGATACTTCTGTATCAGAAAGGAATGGGAATGCCAATTCTTCAGTGGAAATATAAACTAAGAGGTGGGAGGGGCAACTAATATTTCTTTACTCTGCAGGTGCTTTGCTTGCTTCATGACTTTGACTTTCAACAATCCTTCAAGTGAGGCATTAGTTCATCATTACACCTGAAGAAGTCGGAGGTTCAAAGACCTCATAAGAAGCAAGTGGAAAAGTAAATGTTCAAATTAGGTCTTCTTTTCCAAAAATCCTGTTACATAAAAGTATAATGCAATGCAGCTAAGCCAAGAACTGTGGTCATCTGCATTGAGATTTGTTTCTGTTAAGATAATTAAAATGATTAATGGGCCAGGCGGGGTGGCTCACGCCTGTAATCCCAGCACTTTGGGAGGCCGAGGCGGGTGGATCACCTGAGGTCGGGAGTTCAAGACCACCTGGGCCAACATGGTGAAACCCCGTCTCTACTAAAAATACAAAAATTAGCCAAGCAAGGTGGTGCATGCCTGTAACCCCAGCTACTCGGGAGGCCAAGACAGCAGAATCGCTTGAACCCAGGAGGCGGAGGTTGCAGTGAGCCAAGATTGCGTCATTGCACTCCAGCCTGGGTGATGGACCGACACTCCAACTCAATAAATAAACAAATTAATTAAATAAATAAAATGACTGACTTGGGAAAATACTAACAAAAATTCATTTTAAATTTTATTATAAAATAATTTTTGACTAAAAAATATACAAAAGGAAGACAAAGTCAGTCTCTCCACCTCTGCTCTCACTCCCACTCATTAAAGATAACATTATCTCATTCCAGAAATTTTCTATGCATTTATATACACATAATACTTTTGTTTTACCTAAATGTGTTCATACCGCTTTGCCATATTTCCCCCCACATAATAGATTTTGGACTTATTCAGCCAGAGAAAATCTCATTAGCCGTCATTGACAAACAGTTAAAAGGGTTTTTATTTTGCTTTTACTTTTTTTTTTTTTTTTTTTGAGAGGGAGTTTCGCTCGTTTCCCAGGCTGGAGTGCAATGGCGCGATCTCGGCTCACCGCAACCTTCTCCTCCCGGGTTCAAGCGATTCTCCTGCCTCAGCCTACTGAGTAGCTGGGACTACAGGTGGGTGTCACACGCCCAGCTGATTTTTTTTTTTTTTTTAAGATGAAGTCTCACTCTGTCGCCTAGGCTGGAGTGCAGTGGCGCAATCTCGGCTCACTGCAACCTCCGCCTCCCGGGTTAAAGCCATTCTCCTGCCTCAGCCTCCTGAGTAACTGGGACTACAGGCGCCCACCACTACAGCTAATTTTTGTATTTTTAGTAGAGACAGGGTTTCACCATATTGGCCAGGCTGGTCTCAACTCCTGACCTTGCGATCCACCCGCCCCAGCCTCCGGAAGTGCCGGGATTACAGGCATGAGCCACCAGGTCCGGGCTAATTTTTTTTTTTTTTTTGATACGGAGTCTCGCTGTCTCCCAGGCTGGAATGCAGTGGCGCCATCTCGGCTCACTGCAAGCTCCGCCTCCCAGGTTCACGCCATTCTCCTGCCTCAGCCTCCTGAGTAACTGGGACTACAGGCGCCCACCACTACAGCTAATTTTTGTATTTTTAGTAGAGACAGGGTTTCACCGTGTTAGCCAGGATGGTCTGGATCTCCTGACCTCGTGATCCACCCATCTCGGCCTCCCGAAGTGTTGGGATTACAGGCGTCAGCCACCACACCCGGCCTTTTTTTTTTTTTTTTTTTTTAAAGTAGAGATGGGGTTTCACCATGTTGGCCAGGATGGTCTCGATCTCTCGACCTCATGATCCACCTGCCTCGGACTCCCAAAGTGCTGGGATTACAGGCATGAGCCACCGTGCCCAGCCTCTTTTGCTTTTATTTTCTATTACAAACAATGCTGCAACGAGTATCCTGCTTGTCTACTGAAATTAACTACATTTTAAACTGACACTCTGGGGTTGAAAATACATCATGAAGTCGTCTGGTTTTGCTCACCTCTGATCATACACTTGCATTTTCCATTACACATATTTGTTTCCTTCCTCCGCTACTAGATTTTAAGTTCTTAGCAGAGTTTGTCTTACTCACATCTGAATCTCTAAGAATGTCCTGATTCCAATAGCTATTCAATAAATGTGTTTCAATTTTGCTAATATTGGAAGATGGGCTAGAAAAACAGTAGGTGTTATTTTCCCTCCCATTTGTCTTACCCTCTCTAATTTTTATATTTTCTACTTTAAAACATAGCAAATATGTCTCACTTTTTAATCATTAAAAATACTAACATTTCAAAAATAAGAAATACTTACTTGTATTCAGAAACTGGGAAAAGCACCTTTAAGATGGTTATTACCACAGCTGCTCCTGTAATTCCAACCACCATGATGTTCAAGAACTGAAAGAATACTGGGAAAACACTGCTCCAGAACCTACACAGATCTTTTCTAAACTTTTCCATCCACTGACACATTACCTGAAAAAGGAGTTTTGATTAGATATGCAAGTTGCATCGATCTCTAAGAATAAACTTTAAATTTTTTAATGTTTTAGCTTTGGGATGATGAAAATATTTTATATTTTGATTGTGCTGGTAGTTACATGGGTGACTACATTTGTCAAAACTAACTGTATACTTTAAACGGTGCATTTTATTTTAGAATGTGCCTCAATAAAGTTACTTATAATTTTAAAATGTGTTCTAACAATACAAGAACAGAAATGTTAATAGCCTGTAAAATTATTTATATTGTTTTCTAATTACAAATCAAAAGAAAATAATTGCTAATTGACAAGAGATTCGTTAGGCTAGTCCATTATAAATGAAATGGAGCAGAGTCAACTATCTGTTTCCAGTACCTAGAGCACAAGAGAAAGAAGAGAAAGACAAACATATTAATAGCTTTTAGAACAAATGGGAAGTTCACTGTGTACAAAACATGTTTCTATACTTTAAGAGTGAGAGAAGAACCCAAGGTGGGCACTCATGGCATGGGCTATGAAGACAGTCTGCTCTGAGGCTGACCTGCTAAGGGAGGTTAGGTAGACAGGGTAAAGGTGCTACAGTCCACACTGACCCCAAATATGCAATCCTGACCTTCAGTGAGAACTACTACTCCTTTAAGACCAACCATAGACCCTGCTCATTTAAAATGAATTTTGGGTAGGGGCCTACTTAATACACACAGAGATATCAGGATACTCTCTGAACCCATGAATATATTCCTAGTAAGCAGTATAAATGTCACAGGTAACATTCGAGAAATTAGTAGGTGCTAATGCATATTTGGATGTAGTACCCAACTTATTTAATCCTTATAACAACTTCATGAGATACTATTTTACACTACTATTCAGATTAAGTGGGTGCCCCACTGTACAGATAAAGAAACTGAGGTTAGAGAGATTAAGAATTTGTTCAAGGACGGCACAGCAGCTCATGCCTATAATCCCAGCACTTTGGGAGGCCAAGGTGGGTGGATCACTTGAGGTCAGGAGTTTGAGATCAGCCTGGCCAACATGGTGAAACTCTGTCTCTACTAAAAATACAAAAATCAGCCAGGCACGGTGGCATGCGCCTGTAATTCCAGCTACTTGGGAGGCTGAGGCAGGAGAATCACTTGAACCTGGGAGGCGGAAGATTAAGCTGAGATCACACCACTGCACTCCAGCCTAAGTGACAGAGCGAGACTCCATCTCAAAGAAAAAAAAATTTTTTTGTTCAAGTCACATAACTAGTCTGTGGCAGAACCAGGTTTCAAGCCTGGGCAGGCTGACTCCAGAAAGTACATTCTCAACCACCTGAGCTGAATCACTGGGCAAGATCCTGAGGGCACAATGCACATGTGTGTATGCAAGGTAGCAGGTGCAGAATAAACACAGAAATCTGGATATGAGAAAAAACTGTGGAATTGATAATTCTAACCACATGAAATCCAGCACCTTGATAATCATGATCTGACTACAATATTATTAAACAAAGCTTGAAGAGGAAAATAGGAATACCTAAAAGTATCACATTAAGACCAAGATGAGTCCCCTATCACCAATGCTCCATGGTTCCATTTTCATAATTTCCACTCCATTTTAAATGCTAGATCAATTTTCTTCATCATAACCATGAATGCTTATGATAACACCAAATAAATACAACACCAAATACTTGATTTACCTTATATGAAGATGGAGGCTCTGCTCTGAGAGGAGTTTCAGGTAACTTGCCAGGTAAAACATCTTCATCTACAGTGGTTTCCACATTCCTGATAAGATACTGGCTGGTGGTCTGCAGTGAACTAACACTTTCTACCCAGGAGAAAGAGCAACATTACCAAAATGCTGGTGTCTTATCCTACTAAACCTAAGATTACCAAACCAATAATAGCATTTAGGATAGTAAGAACACATATTTTACCATGGGAGAAAAAATGAACATATCTGAATGTTCACTGATTTAAATGCCAGAAGAGAGCTATAAACGAAGACATGTATAAGGAGCTAAAGCAGTTATGATTCTGTCACATAGAAAGCCAAAATTTTAGAAGTTCTACGTTTCTGTGAAAAAAGGAATAGTTCTTCATCTGAATGAACCTTTACAATAGTCTTATTACATATTTTGTGATCAGTACCCAGAGTAAGAGTGAATAATTACTGAAAAATGTCACTATGCAAACAGCACTGATCACATTCTACTAAGGCTCAAAATAGAGTCCTAAAATCCTTAAACGGACATATGAAGCAACACATGTTATGAAGCATTTTTTAAAGAAGCTCATTTCCAAACATATTAACTATTAATTAAAGATCAATAGCAACTTTTGCAAATAGTGTAAAAAACAACAAAGTTCAAGAGTATATATAAAGCTACCAACTAAATAAATAATCTGCTTAATACTTTAAATAATGGTCTTTTAAGTTACCTTTTTTGGAGAGGTTAGGAAGGGTAAATAAAATGTCACTGTCTCGAGAAATAGAGTAGAGCGTGCTTTCTTCCAAAGGGAGGGTATAGTTTGAATGTCTGAGTATTCCCCGGTTCTTAACTAAAATATCAATTTCAGTGACATCCTTTTGTTGAACCTGTGAAAGAAAATATAATTATTCTTTATTTTAAATAGTGGCACAGCCCCATAAAAATTTAAAAGCAAATTTTCCTCCCAGATCTATATAACTAAAACATGTGTTCTATTCAGATAAATTATTCTTTTTTTTTTTTTTTGAGATGGAGTTTCGCTCTTGCTGTGCCCAGGCTGGAGAGCAATGGTGCGATCTCAGCTCACCGCAACCTTCGCCTTCTGGGTTCAAGCGATTCTCCTGCCTCAGCCTCCCGAGTAGCTAGGATTACAGGCATGCACCACCACACCTGGCTAACTTTGTATTTTTAGTAGAGACGGGGTTTCTCCCTGTTGGTCAGGCTGGTCTCGAACTCCCGACCTCAGGTGATTCGCCTGCCTTGGCCTCCCAAAGTGCTGGGATTACAGGCGTGAGCCACCATGCCCAGCCGACAATTACTCTTTATTTCCCCGTACTCCCACTTTGGGGCACTTAACTTGCAACTTTAATAATATTCCTGTCTGCTTTAACACTTACTACTATAAGTTTAATCTCGATTCTACTTCATTTACACACAGAGACTTCATTTACCATAGAGGAAATGGTAGCAGAACTATGAGCCAAATTGAATCTCTTTCCTTACTTTCTATTTAATAATGTCCATACATTTTAAAGTGATATAAACATGTGTGGATATGGGAAATTTAAAAAATACATTTCAAATGCTAAAATAAATATACACAAATTGTAAATAATTGGATATAGGCAACATTAGACACCTTTCTTATCAAGTCAGAAACAAAATAACTGAACACATGCATAATACCTAGCACAAATCTAAATCTTTATAATTTAATTCCCAATTAATAAACATACTATCTTACTTGTTTTCCATCAATCTCTACTACCTCTTCTTGAATGACAATTAGCTGCAAACTGGAACCAGATGTCATAGGCCACTCATGAACTAAAATCCTTACACTGACAATTCCAAAATATTCTTTTTCCTCCAAATTTTCAAGATTTTCATTCTTCACTATAAAAAAAAAAGTAGTGACAACTTTGAACAAAAATTACCACCAAATTTGTTACTGAGTTTGATTATTTTGATGACATTTACATGGAACAAGACAGTTGTAAACCAATTTCTTTGGCTTTCTTCATCCCTGATCTCAATGCCATTTCAGATTTATTAAAAACAAAGACAATCTGACAAATCTTTATGACTGCTTACACTCATTTGAACGGGCAAAATGTGTTGATCTTTAGACTTTGTATGAAATACCACACTAGCAACATCTTTCCTTTTTTTTTTTTTTTTTTTTTTGAGATGGAGTCTTGCCCTGTCGCCCAGGCTGGAGTGCAGTGGCGCCATCTCAGCTCACTGCAACCTTTGCCTCCTGGGTTCAAGGGATTCTCCTGCCTCAGCCTCCCGAGTAGCTGGGATTACAGGCTTGCACCACCATGCCCAGCTGATTTTTTGTATTTTTAGCAGACGGGGTTTCACCATATTGGCCAGACTGGTCTTGCTAACTCCTGATCTCAAGTGATTCACCCACCTTGGCCTCCCAAAGTGCTGGGATTATAGGCATGAACCACCGTGCCCGGCCCATCTTTCCTATTCTTTTACACAGGTTGGCAAGGAGGAACCAACAAGGCATAACTATAAAGCCAGCCAGAAGATACAGTCAATCCCATGTTTTAACACAGTAAGCACATACATTCATCCATTCATGTATCCACAAAATCCTGTGAGAAAAGATGCCCAAGCAGTAAGAACATTGAGTTCTTTTCTCAATCCTTTCCCCGATAAGTGACTCATTACTATTAGAGAAAGCAGGTATGGGGAAAGAGGGTCGGGGAGGTCTGTCATTTCTCTCTGGTAATGGATAATGGGGTAGGACTAGCTATTGTCCATGTTCTTCTCTAGCTAGGAAACCCCTACTCCTGCTCCAGTAGAAATGGGGTATAGTACCTGCAATTGGTTTATAGAGCCAATGGTTACTCTATTAAGGTAGAAGTGCTATCGAAAAAGATAAAGCAACATACACCAATGCACCCGCCACAGATGGAGCATTTTGTTTCTATCCCTCAAATAATCTGAAGATTATCTGCCAAACAGGAACCCAGATGTACAATCTGAATGCACACCCAGCTGTTTAATCTGATTCTGTGCTTCTATAGGGCTACTTCCTTTGTCTGGAATATCTCAATATCTAGTTCATTAACTACTTACTATTACAAGATGTACCTACCTGTTCTCCCCTGCTTTAGTCCCCCCTCCAAACCATTCAGACAACAGTGCCAGGCTCATCTCACTGTGACGTGGTTTTCAGTCCACAGCCTCCTGCTTATGCACCTTTAGTGGCACTTCTGTGAGGTTCCCAGTCCTCTAACTGGTCGTCCTCAGGCTCCTCATGTGGCCCCTCACTGCTCCTCTCTCTAGTGTGCCTGCCTAATCCTTCATGCCCTTTGAAAGGCACCACTGCCAAAGGTACCCCCTCTCTCATGGTCCATCCCCACGTTTCAACGGACCATTACACTCGTGGGTCTGCCTCGTAGAACAGCAGGTGCTGTGTCACCATGTCCATAAGCCCAAAGACTAGGGTACAGGAGACTCAATGGGTGAGAAAATGCAGTCATATAAATACACCCAAGTGGCAATTCTTCAGCCTGCAAATTTGGTGCCCGACATAGTTTGGATGTTCCCCCGCAAATCTCATGTCGAGATGTAATTCCCAATGTTGGAGGTGGAGCCTGGTGGGAGGTGTTTGGGCCATGGGGGCAGATCCCTCATGGCTTGGTGTTACAACACCCCCCTGCCACTCTCGCTCTCTCTTGCTCCTGCTCTGCCACGTGAGACACTGGCTCCCCCTTTGCCCTCCACCATGAGTAAAAGCTTCCTGAGGCCTCCTTAGAAGCTGAGCAGATTCTGGTGCCATGCTTCCTGTACAGCCTGCAGAACCATGAGCCAATTAAACCTCTTTTCTTTATAAATTACCCAGTCTCAGGTATTTCTTTATAGCAATGTGAGAAGAGCCTCATACAGTACCTCTAACACTGAGTAAAATTAAATAAAAAACAACAAAGCCCTTCATATTCTGACTTCCTTACTGTGGTAGGCAGCTTTCAAAAATGCCTCTCAATGACTCTTGCCTCTAGGAGTCAGACATTTCTGCAATTCCTTCCTCAAGTGGGCTGGACCTAGTGACTAGTCAGTTAGTTACCTCTCTATCTATCCATGAATGAGACAGTCTTTTTTTTTTCTTTTTGTTCTTTTGAAAGAGACAACCTTGCTATCTTGCCTAGGCTGGTCTTGAACTCCTGGCCTCAAGTGATCCTACAGCCTTAGCCTCCCAAATAGCTGGGATTACAGGCACGAGCCATTACACAGAGCCTAGTGACTTGTTTCTAACATACAGAGCATAGCACAACTGATGGAATGTTACTGCCACAATTAGATTATTAAAGACTGTGACTTCTGTCTTGCTAGAACTCTTTTTCTTACTGGCAGTCTCGCTTGTCCTCTCAATGATGAAGCTAATTTGTCACGTTGTGAGACGCTCTATGGGGAGTTTCATGTGACAACGAACTGAGGAAGGCCTTCAACCAATATCTGGTGAGGAACTGAGGCCTCTGTTCAAGAGTTCAGAAGGAACTGACTCCTGCCAATGACCACATGAATGAGCTGGGAAGCAGATTTTTCCCAGATGAGCCCTGACATGATGGCAGCCTTTTGAGAACCACAGGACCCCACTAAGCCAAGCTCAGATTCTCGACCTACAGAAACTATGAAATAATAAATACTGTCTTAGGCCACTGATTTCTGGGTTAAACTGTTATGCAGCAATAAATAACAAATACACCAACTAAAGAAAAAGTTTCTTTAAAGAATTAAAGAAGATTTGTTGTTGCTGCTGCATCTAATGTTTTGAAGATTCCTGTTGTAACTGGGTAAGATGAGCATTTATTTCAGTTATCATAGAAACAAACTCAGTGCACTGACTGGGATGACTAAAATATGGCCATAAGAGAGGAGAGAGGCTGCATTCCACGTCCTGTTTCCAGTGAATACAACAACAAAAGAATTATTATTTCAATAGTACTAGCATTTCCTTTCTTAGCTACCATGGATTAGCTTGTAGTACACCAACCCTCTTGCAATGAACCACTTGCAAAGATCCGCTAGAAGATGTAAAAAATACACACCCACATATACACACAAAACCTATATCTGTCTAGAGGCATCAGAAGCTAAAGACAGCCAGCACTTGAAGGGCCAAGAAAAGAGCTCCCTGAGGTGAGCACAATATCCTATGTGACTTCTTCCCCCGAAGGCATTTGCCAACTCCCAAGCAGAACAGGTAGAGAGGTTGAAAAGCTGAGTAGAAAGCAATGACTAGGAGGCAAGAAAGCTTGACAAAGTGTCTGGCAGTCTCCCCAGCAGGTGAGAAAATAAAGTGTTAAAACAAAAATGCTAAGCTATGCTTCCACAGCCAGCAAAAATAGCCTTCTAAAATGAAGGCAAAGAGATGTTTTCAGACAACATAGGTTTCCCTATGTTGCCCAGGCTGGTCTCGAACTCCCAGGTGGAAGTCATCCCCCAGCTCTGGCCTCTCCAAGGGCTGGGAATACAGGCATGAGCAACCATGCCCAGCCAAAAGTACTAATTTATTGGTAGCAAGGGTAACCACTAAAAGAACAGTAAAATTATGTAAAACCAAGACAGAAGGGAACTATGATACCAAAAATAATTAACCTAGATGAAGGCAAAGGGGGAAGAAAAAGAAACACAGAACAGTTGGCACAAAGAGGAAACAATTAAGAAGGAGGATTTAAATCCAAATGTATCAGTAATTTTATTAATGTAAATAAGTTAAAATCCCAACTAAAAGACAGACTGACAGAAACAACAAATGGGCCGGGCGCGGTCGCTCACGCCTATAATCCCAGCACTTTGGGAGGCCGAGGCGGGCGGATCACCTGAGGTCAGGAGTTCGAGACCAGCCTTGACCAACATGGCGAAACTCTATCTCTACTAAAAATACAAAAATCAGCCAGACATGATGGCGGGCACCTGTAATCCCAGCTACTCGGGAGGCTGAGGCAGGAGAATCACTTGAACCCAGGAGGAGGAGGTTGCAGGGAGCCAAGATCGTGCCAAAGAACAGGCCATTGGCCTGTTCCATCTATGAAAAAAAAAAAAAAAAAATCCTATGTATATTCTTTGTATTTGCTATTTCATCCAAATAATATGGCATATTCCAATGCAACGTACCTGCTTACCTTTAAGCAACTCAAAATTTTTAAAGGTTAAAAATAAAATGTTCTACTGACATAAGGATAAGGGTAGAGTAAACTGATAATCAGACAATTCATTTTCTTGGCTTTTGCTATCCGATTTACTACCTTTATGCACCTTTTTTTTTTTTTTTTTTTTTTTTTTTAGCCAGGGTCTCACTCTGTTGCCCAGGCTGGAGTGCAGTGGCGATCCTCCCACCTCTCAGGAGTAGCTGGGACTACAGGCACACATCACCACACCCAGCTAATTTCTGCATTTTTTGCAGAGACAAGGTTTTACCATGTTGCCCGGACTGGTCTCCAACTCTGGGCTCAGGCAGTTCACCCGCCTCAGCCTCCCAAAGTGCTAGAGCCACCATGCCCCACCTCTATGCACATTCTTACATCAATATCAACTTACCAGAAATGCAGTTTCATCAATGCTGATCTTATGGAAAATAGTGAATATGCCAGAAGCAGCCAATATAAAATAAGAATAGAGTTTTAAACACATTAGTGTTATTGTACATTCTGATTGTGTGTGTGTGTGTGTGTGTGCTCTTATACACATCTAGATGTGTATAAGAGACAGCTCTAGGAGTCAGACATTTCTGCAATTCCTTCCTCAAGTGGGCTGGACCTAGTGACTAGTCAGTTAGTTACCTCTCTATCTATCCATGAATGAGA